AGATAGATTTAATCATTCAGCAGGTTACAGCCGAAAAGCTTATACTTATGAATATCTAAGGATTCCAAATAATTGGGTTTCCAACCCTTGCTTGCATAGTGCAAGAATAACATATTATGTATATACATTTAATTTTTCCCCATTTACTCTCCCTTAGACTGCCTGGAAAACTCTGACGTAAAGGTTTTTGGAAATCGGTCATCAGGAATAATATATCTCAATTTTGTATGTTTACACATTCAATTTTAGACGATATGAGTTTTCAAAAGTTTCCACCTCATTTCCACTCCGTCAGACGACGTGAAAAACTCTGACGTGATTTTATTTTTTTTTTGTTGAATATCATTTTCGATGAATATCATATTTCAGTTTGGTAAGTGTAATAAGTAGAGATGAAACGGATATCCGGTAACTATCCGGTATCCGGCCTATCCGGCCTTGTTTTAACTATCCGGCCGGATACCGGATAGTAATACAGTATCCGGTCGGATACCGGATAGTAAAATTTAAAAAAATCTCATAATTTTACACAAGGCAAATCATACTCCAATAGGTTATGGACACCGTTTATTTTTATAATCGCACATCAAAAATGTTTGTTTTATTAATTATTAGTTTAATACTCAAAATTAACAAGTGGCAAATTGTGATGAATAAATACCAAATTTTCCGCGTTTGTTGGTAAGAGGCGACTTCGCTTGGCTTCGTATACCAGACCAGCTTCTGAAAATAGCCTTTCGCTGTAAACGCTACTGCCAGGTGCTGAAAGATAAATTCTAGCAAACCTTGACAACTGCGGGTACTGATTTAGATTGGGTCGTGATTGCGATCGATTCGAGATGTCTTTAAAAAAAAGTCAATCTCGTTAGCAATTGGATTTTTTTTTCTTGATCGCGACAATCACTACTATTATCCTTTGCCACTTCATTGAAACAGTTCCAAAAAGTGTCATGAGCTTCACGTGTGAACTTGGATCCAGTTTCATCTTCTTTCATTCGTTTAGCAGGTGTTGAAGATGGCGATGATCTTTCACTGTCAGAAGAAGATTCCTCGCAAGAGTTTGTTATATACTCTATCATGATTTTCTGTCGGGCTTTTTCAGTTTCAAGAACTCCTAAATAATCTGACTTGAACCTTGGGTCTAAAAAGGTAGCAATTAGGTAGTTTGGATTATCTCCTAAGGATTTAAAACGACTTTCCAATTCAGCTTTCAAAGAAGCTCTCATACGAGCTAAGTCTGGTGTTCTTTGTGCAGTCTCGTTTTTGTCTAAATACTTTTTCAAGGCAGAAATATGCGGAGTCGCCTCGGATATACAGGAAAGGCCAGAACTTGTAATTTTCGTAATTTCTTCAAATGGTTTTAAAAGATTTATGCACTGCTCCATTAGGCCCCATTGTTGTATCGTCAAATTAGTGAGAGTGTCATGTTCAGCGACATAAAGAGAGATAGCCCTTTTTTGTTCCAACAAGCGTTCTGCCACGTAGTAGGTAGAGTTCCACCTCGTGTTGATGTCCTGCACTAACTGATGCTGCGGTAAATGTAACACCATTTGAATTGCAAGCAATTTTTCTTGTGCTAAACCTGAATGATTGAAATGAGTTACTAGACGTCTTCCAGTAGCAATCATGTCTAATACTTCAGCTTGGACCTTCATTGCCTCATTAACAACTCGCTGAAATGAATGAATGAAACATCTAGCAGAATCATACTCTGCAACTCGAACTCCTTTCACCATATTAGCGCCACTATCATGAATTAGTAAATTAATTTTATTTCTATCAATTTCCCAGTGAGCAGCAATAGTGTTCAATTCCTTTGCTATATTTTCTCCAGTGTGTGATCCTGAAAACGGTTTCATAGCAAGAACGCCGTGTTGCAGCTGAAATTCCGGAGACAACCAATGGGCTGTGAAACTCAAGAAGCTGAAACTATTGTGCAGGCAGGTCCAAATGTCAGAAGTAACAGAAACTGCAATAGCTTTCGAAATGTAGATATCGGGCACAATTATTTGAGAAATATAAGTGTGACTTGGTAATTCATAACGAGGTAGCGCTTGTTCTAGAAGCCTTTTAAACCCGACCTTTTCTACGATACTGAACGGCTCGTTATCTAGAGCAATCATTTCTGAAATTAAATAATGATATTTCTTGGCTTTGGCATCATTTACATTCCAAAGTAATTTTCTTTCAAACGATTCCGACAGTGTTAGTTGTTTTTCTGCTGATGATGAAGATGCACTTGTGCTGGGAACGACATGTCCCGGAGCCATAACCGGCTTTGAACTTTCACCAGTTTTTTTTTTATTTATCAATTTAAACTCCTCTGGATGTTTGGACTTCAAATGATTACTCATGGCTGAAGTACCTAATAAATGACAAAAAAAACATACTTTAAAATATTGAAGGTACCGATTCACAATGTACATCAATAAAAAAAAGCTAAAGTCAAAAACTTGCATTCATAAAATTGGTGAATTTAAACTAATTTAAAGTAAGGCCGTAGTAGTAGGTACCTAATAAAAATAAAAATGAAATGACACAGCGACCAAATTTTTGTTATACTGGTAGGTACTTACTAAGTTTGTTTATTAACAAAATCAGTTTAAGAATATAAGAATTAAGAATATTCATATTTTTTCGTTTTCATATCTTTTCGTTCAATTGAAGCAAAAACATAACCTCTAAAACTTACGTACCTGCCTTTTTTCCTTCACCACCTCGAGAAATTTCAACCTGACACAACAAACATACCGCGTACTTGTTATCGTCACTGTTTAAATCAAAATATTGCCATATTGGTGATCGTGTTTTTAATGATGACATTTCTTGTTAATCTATCAGAATTCAAACATAAAATCACGACGACAAGTGATAAACAATGAAATAAACAACAAACGAACTGAGAAACAAACACAAATTGACACGCGCGATAACACTCGAACGTCCCCGAGTCGACCCGATCTCCGCTTACGTGCGACCCGAATGCGCGTGAATATTTCCGATCTCGTTCACCGCGCCAATATTCAAATCAAACTGATCGCGTCAACGCAATAAAGGGCCGAATATCCGGCAGCCGGATATCCGGCGCTCCGGCCTAGTAGCTTGCCGAATATCCGGTATCCGGCCAAACTACTATCCGTTTCATCTCTAGTAATAAGTCGATTTTTCATGTTACAATTTTCTTTTAAATAATATCACCCTATTTTTACTCCTTCAGATGGCTTTAACAACTAGAACAGTTCTGTTTTCTCCACTGAGTCACTCGATAAGCTTATCATATTGAAAAATGGTAGATTTACAAAGTCGTTAGATGAAAAACTAACAATTTAATATTTTTTTCTGAATGTACTTTGTGGATATGGAGAGCTTCACACCTGTGTGATTTCCCCGTGCCTATAATCATCTTCGGATGATGACTGGACTGATTCCTCCGAGAGATGACTATTTATAGGTCGTTTGAGTACTGTCACTAATCCCCGCTTTCCATTTTTCGCTTCACTGGTTCTGTGGGAGATCACCGTTTGACGGGAGTTGGCCATTTTTTGTTTGATGAGGGGTTTCCATATGTTGCGTATTTCTACGCTGGCTTGGCTGAGTACGTTTTCGTTCCCCTTGCTGTGTGTGTTTCTTGTGCTCGGCAATGCGAACATTCAATGGCCTCTTAGTTTCACTAATATAGGATTTTCCGCACACAGGGAATCCGGTAAATACAATTCTTTGAATCGCAGCCCTCGTTTGGTGGCCTGATTTTCGTGAGGCTGCTAGGGATAGTGTTACTGGATCTGAAGCAGGTTCTGATGTTGTACCTGGAATCAATTCTTCCTCTTCCTCTGATGTAGGGAAGTGCAAGCACCGGTTGTGACGGCTTCTTTTCCTTGAGAGGCTCCTGCTGTCTTTCAGCCAAAGTCTTTTCTACCATCTCTTTGGAGTAGCCATTCCGTTGAAGATCATTTTTGATGATGTCTAGTTCCTTCTCGAGACCTTCCTTCGTATTACAGAGTCCAAAAGCACGGTCTAATAGGGTCTTGATGATTCCTCTTTTAGTCGATTGATGGTGGTTGGATTCGTGGTTCAGATACTGTTCCGTTTGAGTGGGTTTTCGGTATACAGATGTTTCCCACTTAGTGTCGGTCCTCTTCACCAAAACGTCTAAGAATGGCAATTCGTTGTAGATTTCCTTCTCCATTGTGAAAGTAATGGAAGGTCTCACGCTGTTGATGTGTTTCAGGAAGGCGTCTAGTTCAATATTCCCATGGTTCTATATTATGAAGGTGTCGTCAACATTTCAGCTCTCTGGAGCTTATGATCGGTCTAAACGGAACGTCTTTCTTGTGGATTTTGGGTAGTCCATACAAGTGCGGGGGCTTACTGTGGTTTGGTGTTAGCGATGACCTTTCCTTGTCCGAAAAATAGACTTGGTGTTTTTTCAAAATATGGTAAAACTTCCTTTCAATTGATGCAGTAGGGTCCCGTACGATCTTTGTGTATCGTCCCTTCTGAAGAACCTCTTCGATCTTCTGTTCATGTTGAACGGTATCCATCACCACCGTAGCGTTTCCTTTATCTGCAGATAGGATTTTACTTTGTCTTTTTTAGTTGTTTCAGGGATTTCGAATCATTTTATATAGAAGTCTGAACTAGTGGAATTCGTGGTAATTTTTGCCGTACTCACAGTTTTGTGTGATTGAGCTTTTCTTTCTTGAGATAATCAACCGATTTTAACGATTGGAGGGTAACTGTTTAATTGATAATTCGCAAATTGATTTGAAGACCAGCAACTTACACTTTTTAAAGTTTTGTAGCCAGAGCCAAACTCAGTCAAATAGCAACAAGCTGAATGGTATTGAAGAGAAAAGTGTGTTGAAATATGGGAAACCGGTAGTGAACCTTTAATTGGCAGAAAGACAGATGAAACCTTAAATATAAATACTAATTCAGTTGCATTGAATTCGACATAGTACCTTACATTTTCAATATAGACATCCTTTTTTTTGTTACAGAAACGAAAAAAATTCTCCATGGCGTTTCAGGACAGTTTAAATCAGGTGAATTATCAGTTATTATGGGGCCCTCTGGAGCTGGAAAAAGTACTTTGCTCGACGTTCTGGCTGGATTCAAGTGAGTAGTTATAGATACATAGTAATCAACTTTTCTAAAAATAAATATTTTTTCGCACGTAATCTTTAACGCTAATCTTTAATGAATGTGTCGTATATGACTGAATAAGTATGAAAAAGCTTGACGAAGATGTTGTAAAACAAAAATACTGTTGCAGTTTTGTAAACTGTCCAGTGAAAATCTCACAATGAAGTATTACTTGAATAATTCATCAAAGTCACAAGATTGCTAAACGTGAAAATAACAGGAAATAGCCGCATCGAGAAGACATACTTGAGTATCCAAAAGACTCAGATGTTATGTGTTTATTCTGATGATTTCAAACTAAGTCCTTATTCGTTGAAAAAAAGCATTTATTTTCAGTTTATTGTTAGATAAACGGAAACAAGTTTATTTTCAATGCTTCCATATTATTTTTGATTAGTCGTTTTTTGTGTATAATGTTAAACTTTCATCACCAGTTGCCTAGGTCGGAAATAAATAAACAAGAGGTTTTTATTGGGAATCACTGGTTTTTGTTGTCGGAAATAGAAAAATGTGTCTACTTTTACACGTTATCAATTACAAATATATTTTTTACCCGTATTACGAACTACTGGTGTGAACATTAATTTGGGGTCGAATCTATGCTGGTTTTTTTATAAAAATGCATATATTCAAGAGATCTGCAGCACTAGCAGCTTGGTATTCATGAAAAATAATTCAGTAGCATGAACTTCAAGGAGACAAAAAACTCAACAAGGCAGGAAATGTTTTTTCTACAAATAGATCGTTCGAGAACATTTGAAAAGAAAATAATCAGATTTTATTGGTAGATTCTTTATAGTACTATTTTCTCTTCAACTCTAACTATACCATTATCAGGAAATAAACAGAACATACTTGGTTGAGATCAACCAAGAGCATCCAAAGAACTATTCGGTTTTCGTATTTTTTGTTCGCAAAATCTATTTCCAATCATTTTATAGTTATTAAAACATCACTTCATTCTTCTGTTAGTATACCCAGAATGACAAAATCTTGTGAGGGTGAAGAACAGTTATTTTATTGGTTGAGGTACTCTTAGACAATCGGTTAACTATTAATGGTTTTCATTCTTATACATTCCACACAAAAGCAGCAAAGCAAAGTTTAAAATATCATCGCTATATCACAATGATATCTAAGCTAACTGTCATCAATAAAAGTATGATTTAATTGCGCATCACCAACTACTTATCGTATGGATGTACATTTTATTCCAGTGTATTGCTCTACTACTACAAGTATAGTTCAAGTAAACGATATAGTGCAACTTACCTTCCAACAGCTCCCCTTTAATAATATAGTTAGGCAGCTAACTAATTTAGTTATTCAATGATCATTTCTGATTATATAACAAACATAGGCGAATGGAAAAGTAGGAATTCGAATAGCAGGGTGATAATTGAAAATACTTGTGCATACTACTTACTCACATATATATACAATCGATCGCTTCAAAAACACTTCACTAAGTTTCTTCGAAAGCTTCTGATGATTCCACTTCCATATTCTATGTTTTACTATAACTGTCATTTAAATCAATAATGAATTTATTTCCACCATTAATATGGAAGTGTGCAATCTCCATATAGTCTGTTTCAACTAAAATTACTTTTTTAATCCTTTTCTGTCGGTCTTCTTCGGTAATATTAGATACTTCTTCTTCAACTAGCTGTATTACCTTATCAAATTTTGGAAAATAGGGGGAATTCTCAGTAGGGTGTGTCCATACATTTCAGCGATACTCTCAAGGGCATACACTTTTTCAAATATTTTTGTCTGTAAAACTTCAAGTAGTATGTTTCTGTTATAGATAGATATTTCCAAAATATAAATTGTTATCCATTAATAAACTTTGTATTTCAGGCTTCCTCAAATTTTTATTCGGTACTTTGATGAACTGTCGCGAATGCTAAAAAGCGTTATCAAAAACTATTACACTATTCGCATCCAAATTTGGGATCAATGTGTTTTCAAACCATTCCTCGAAAATATTAGCTTCCATTTTCTTATGATAGTCAACATTGCAGTCCTCAAGTTTTTTTCCGCATAATTTCAAAGAATTCGAAACCCATCCTTTACTTCCTCCGCAATACACAATGATTAGTAGCGATCCTTTGTTTGTAGACATGTTAGGCGTACACATTCTCGAAGCAAAAGTACACCCTTTCGTAACTGTGTCGTGAGTGTCATACCAAGTTTTGTCCAAATAGAAAATTTGCCGTTGTTCATGTCTATATTTTATTATTTTTTCTAAGTATTTGTTACGCAATTCCAGTATTCTTCTGCTTTCCATAACTGATTATTATTCTGAATTTATATCATAGTTTCTTCATCCAATTCTGAAGAGTTTTGCCACAGCAGCTCACGTTTTGGCCGGAAATATTCAATTTCTTTCTTATGATTTCAGTTTTAATGAATTCATCACATGAACATCTAAAGGTTTTGATAATCCCGTATCATATCGCGTTTTGCGTTCATAACGTTTGTTTTTGACTATTTTACGTATAGTTGAGAGAGGAATTTTGGTCAAATGTGATGTTGCTTGTAATAGTTTGTTTCCCTCGTAATCAAACTTGAGATGCAGATTCTTATATACATTGAAAGATACTCTCTATGTTTCAGTATTCAAATGCATCCGAATTTTATTCCCTGATATCTCTTTTTCGCATTGTTCACCATTCGCTATTGGAATCACTACACTGGAAAAAGTCTGCGTTGTTATCACACTCGTTATTACTGTTAGTACTTGTCCAAGGACGCCACATTTTGAACAGATAATAAAAACTTCAAGTAATTATAACTGCACCAATATCGAATTTCAACACTCAAATTGCGATCAGTTCCAGAACTGAACAATAACAACACGACGACTAAAACCATCTTCGCATTCTATTCGTTACCGTAATATGACTTCAAATTCAATTTTATTTATCTTCAGCCATTATAAAACTCGGTTAGTAAAAAATAACCAATACGAAACGCCAATTCTTCAATCCACGTGGACTAGTTGGCAGCGACTTCATTTCTCTGTGTTGTTTTTTTTGGCCTTTGAGAGCGCCGACACCTTTAAGTATGCACAATACCGTTTACTTCGACTACACCGATCCTTATCGAGTACTTTTGTAATAACAAAGGGTCCCTTATACCGTGATTCAAGCTTTCTGCTCTTCCCGTCATTAGAAGTCTTATTCGCTTGAACTACAACATGTTGGCCAACCGTAAACGTTTTCAAATTAGCATGATTCTTGTCATAACTTTCGTTCTGAGCGAGTCGGTGAGATCTAATTTGCTCAGGTAAATCACCCCTCAAAACCGTTAGGTCGTGACGTTTCTCGTTAGAGATATCTGCTGCAAGAAATGCGTCATTGATACTGTGTGGATGTTATCAGAAGAAAACCTCGTAAGGCGTCTTACTTGTAGTGGAATTAACCGTAGCCTTCACCAGGCTAACATCCTCGCCCGCCGATTTTCTTCTTTCGTGGATGCCATCAGAGGCGAAAGAATGGAGCGGTTCATCCTTTCTACTTGCCCGTTCGCTCGCGGAGTTGCCGTAGTGCACAATATCCGTTTGATCCTTAAGTCGTGACAGAAATCCGTATATTTCTTATATGTAAAGGCCGAGCCCCTACCACATATTAATCTTCTCGGTACTCCAAACATCTCGAATATTTGATCCAAGAAACTGAAGAAACTTATGGGCGGTCCCGACTTTGTGTTAGGTATTGCTTTCATAAAAACGAATTCAGTAAATCCATCAACTACAACTACAAGATAGGCATTTTTGTCAACACTCGTGAGAAAAGGTTCAAGGTGATCGACATGTAAGGTGTCCATTGGAACTCCTTCTCGTGCGATAGGGTTCAGCCTACCTGATTTCTTGCCGGACGGTACCTCATTGTACATACAGCCCAAACAAGAATTTATGTAATCATTGAGAGCGTTATCATCTCCTATTGAGTTCTTACTAAGAGCGTCAACATGTACCATTTTGGTTCCTGGCCAGTACTCTATAGCAAAGTCGAATTCTTGAATATTGAGCCACCACCTGACAATCCTAGGAAATAGATCCCCCTTTACCAAAGTATGACGCAACGAATTACAATCTGTTACGACCTTGAATCGAATTCCAACCAGATAGATTCTGAATTTCTTCGATGAACACACTAAGGCTAACGTTTCCAATTCATATGAATCGTACTTTTGCTCTTCTATCGTAGTAGCTCGACTGAAATATTGTACTGGTTTCAATACACCGTCGGCCTGTTTTTGGAGGAGTATCCTCCCAGTCCGATTTTGCTAGCATCGCAATGAACTTCTGTACCTGCTTCTCGGTTATAGATTGCGAGAACCAGTCGCACGACTCATTTTCTTTTCAACGTGTTGAAGGCTAGTTCTTGATCTCTTCCCCATATGAAGTTCGAATTGTTTTAGTGAGACATGATATTGGTCTAGAAATGGCGGAAAATCCAGGAATAAATTTTCGGAAGTAGCTACCCAAACTTAGGAAACGTTTTACATCATGCACGTTGGTAGGTTGGTTGCACGTTGCACTCGAAACAGCTCTAATCTTATCAACCCCCGGACGGATGCCCTCTGATCTTCTGTTGTATAAAACGGCACTTACTCATTCTTAAGGTCATTCCGGTATCTAGATATATTTTTAAAACTGCTTTGAAGGTTTTTAGTACCTTCGGGAATCTTTCTAGAAGGAATTAGGACATCATCTAGGTAGGCTAAGGCAGTATCATAACGTAAAGGTAATACGGCAGGCGCGTTGACAAGTCCAAACGGGATCCTCAGGTACTCCGTAATGGCCGTCAGGTATGACAAATGCTCTTTTCGGAATAGATTCTTTATCCAAAGCGATTTGGTGATACCCTGAAGCGAGGTCCAGACTGGTAAAGTACTTGTTACCAATATATCGTCAATACGTTTTTCGATTGATGGCACCATAAACAACGCACCATTCTTCA